CGTGGTCGAAAGCCCAAGTGGCTGCTCTCGCATGCGTCTCCCCAACCTAGGACTGCGTTTCGTGGTCCCATAAGGAGTTCCACCGAAGGCCCCAGTGGCTGCTCTCGCATGCGTCTCCCCCGCCCAGGACAGCGTTTCGTGGCCCCATAGGGAGCTCCACCGAAGGCGCCAGTGGCTGCTCTCGCATGCGTCTCCCTCGCCCAGGACATGGTTTCGTGGCCCTATAGGGAGCTCCACCGACGGCGCCAGTGGCTGCTCTCGCATGCGTCTCCCCCGCCCAGGACAGCGTTTCGTGTCCCTATAGGGAGCTCCACCGAAAGCCCCAGCTGCACTCGCATGCGTCTCCCCCATCCAGGACAGCGTTTCGTGGCCCCACAGGGAGCTCAACCGAAAACCCCAGTGGCGCAGTTCGCATGCGCCTCCACCCACCCAGGAAAACGTTTCGTGGCCACTATAGGGAGCTCCACCGAAGGCGCCAGTGGCTGCTCTCACATGCGTCTCCCCCGCCCAGGACAGCCTTTCGTGGCCCCACAGGGAGCTCAACCGAAAGCCCCAGTGGCGCAGTTCGCATGCGCCTCCACCCACCCAGGAAAGCGTTTCGTGGCCACTATAGGGAGCTCCACCGAAGGCCCCAGTGGCTGCACTCACATGCGTCTCCCCCGCCCAGGACAGCCTTTCGTGGCCCATAGGGATCTTCACCGATTGCGATACTCACAACGACGGTACTCACAACTGCATGTGGTTGGGTCCTTCGCCAAGCGAATTACAACGGATGTGCGCGACGCTGACGCGAAAACCACATTTTGAAAACCACCCGCCCTCAACCCGTGAAGCTCTTGCAAACTTTTAAAACAAATGTGCGCGGCGCTAACGCGAGAACCACATTTTGAAAACGACCGCCTTCAATCCGTGAAACTTTTGCAAAGTGTCAAAACGAATGTGCGCGGCGTTAATGCGAACACCACATTGCGAAAACCATCCGCCCTCAATCCGTGAAACCCTTCCAAAATCTTAGCACGAATGTGCGCGGCGCTAAAGCGAGAACCACATTTTGAAAACTACCCGCTTTCACTCCGTGAAGCGCTTGCGAATTTTTAAAGTGTGCGCGGCGCTAACGCGATAGCCACATTTAGAAAACGACCCGCCCTCCATCTGTGAAGCTGTTGTCATTTCAAGCTTCAAATCATAAATGAAGCGAATCGCCCGGCCCGCCCTGAAAAACTTGCCTTAAGGGTGCGACAGGGAACCGTCTTTTATAAGGAAAAGGAACGGAGGAGGAGGAAGACGAGGAGGAGGAGGAGGAAGAGGAGGAGGAGGAGGAGGAGGAGGGGGGGAATTAGGAGGAGGGGGGGAACTAGGAGAAGGAGGGGGAGGCGGAGGAGGAGGAGGAGGAGGAGGAGGAGGAGGAGGAGGATGAGGAGGAGGAAGTGCAACTCTTGTGGAGCCGGGCGCGGCACGCTCGGCCATCAGTTCTACGACTGCGATGCTGCTCCCGCCTCTCTCAAAGACGAGAAGCAGGCGAGGCAGCCCTTCCCAGAGGATGTTTGGCAGCACGTGAGTTTCTGTGGGAGCAAGGTGCTTTTCCTCTTGGGGGCTGGGATCGGGATGTGGTTCCTCTCCTCCACGGTCTCCCTGGTATTCCTGTGAGGCTGCCGCCGCCGCTTTCCCACCCCCCTGCTCTGAACTGGGGCCCCGCCCGAGGCACTTGGGGCCCTGCGCTCTTTACCGACTGTATTGGAAGAGCGGGGTCTTTCCCCGAGGCGGCCAAATGTGATTGGAGTGTAGAGAGCACGGCCGATGGCCGGCCTCTCCGAGCGAGGTTCGGGGGGCTGCCAGGCCTGTTCCAAACTGTTCCTCGAAGTGAGCGTTGGGCTGGGCTAGAGGCCATGCGTGTTGGACGGTCCACCCTCACCATCAGCAGCGATAGCTGACACTTTGCCAAGGAGGCACAGACCTGGGACCCCGACCTTGAGTGCGGTCTCTCTCTCTCTCGGCATGCGTCCACCTTGCGAAGGTCTTTTCGCGAGTCGAGAGGACGGGTGGCGGGCCGCATCTCCTTCGTGAGCCCCAGCGCACAGGGCGCCAAGGGAGCTCGTGGATTCGGGACTCTCGGCTGATGAGCTGCACCGTTTCATTGGCAATCACTTGACATATTTCTTTGCTAAGTTCGGAGCCCAACATGTTGCTGTTACACAAGTCGCGGCCGATGCTCGGAGAGCAGCGGTGAAGGAGTGCAAGCCTACCCTTGATTTCCCTGCGCGGGCGGTTCAATTGATACGTGCCCGCCCTGAGGTCCAGGAGGATGTCCCCCCGTCTTAGGTCGGGCATGTCCCCCTACAGGCGGATTCTGGAGGAAACATTTGAAATACCTAAAGCATGTCCGAAAATGGTCACAAGTGGTCCAAGAATCGTCTCCATACTATTCTTTGACTATTTTTGGAGATTCCCCTGTAGAGGGACAGGCCCGACTGAACCCCAGTTCAAGCAGGCCGCGAGGCAAGGCACGCAGATTGTTCCAGCTCCTGATCATGTCTTCTTTGGCCCCTGGCTCGTCCGCGGTTCAGTGCAGGCGCTGCCTGGCGTTGGCGAGGGACCCCCCTCAGTGCCAAGACGCTGCTCCAGCCTGGTGCGAAGTGCGACCAGCCCTTTTATGCTCCAGGCCCTAGCCCAGGCCGTCGAGCAGACGGGGTGGCGCTCTCGTGCGAGTGGGGACGGAGGGGGGCCTGCTACTGCTGCCGATGAGGGCGGTGGAGGTGAGCAGGATCCTCCTCGAGTGCGATGGCCACCGAGTGCCTCGCACGGGGTCGCCTTTGCGGAGCTCGGGGGCTGGTCGGCTTCCCAAGATTCGAGAGCCCAGGGGGACCCCATGTCCCCTGGCGCTCCTGAATCATGCGCGTCGGCGGGCCCGCAATTGGCTCGCTGACAGCAAGCATCCCTCACCGGGCGCCGTTCTCACCAACTCCTGACTCGTTGGGCTTTCTACTAGTTCTGATTCGTGGCTGGCGCCTCTCCCCGTGAAGGGCCTCTTCGTATCTGTTCTGGCGTGCCTGCGACTCGTTTCTTGCACGCTCTATGCTGCGTCCCGCGTGCAGATTTCTGTGGTTGCCGAGCTTTTCTGATCGAGTTTGGGAAGAGGGGGTGTGTCGCGGTCCCTGGGGTGTTCGTCACAGCCCCAGGCTGCAAAAAAAATCCCCAGCTCTTCATCCTATCGCTCCCACTCAATTTCATGCTTTCTCGCGACCCTTCCTGAAATTTCCCTCCCCCCCTTCTTGGGCAAACAACATTATTTACGGCCACTTGAAATAATGGTGGCTCTCCCATTCTCGGGGGCGCGCAAACATGGATTAGTGATCTGGATTTGGCGCGCGGTCGCCAAATCCATGGATCGGGGGAGGTGCCCTCCCCAAAATGCGGCTGGTGCCGCCTCCCTCGGCGGCGGAAATCCGCGATCTCCCATGGAAACGGGACCCGTCGCTGATCCACGCCCCCTTGATCCATGTTTGCGGTCGCCTGACCATTCCACCCATCCCAAATCCGCTAAAAATCGGCCCCCGAGGAGGAGGAGGAGGAGGAGGAGGAGGAGGAGGAGGAGGAGGACGAGGACGAGGAGGAGGAGGAGGAGGCGGGGAGGAGGAGGAGGAGGAGGGAGGAGGAGGAGGAGGAGGAGGAGGAGGACGAGGAGAGGAGGAGGAGGAGGAGGAGGAGGAGGAGAGGAGGAGGAGGAGAGGAGGAGACGGAGGAGGAGGAGGAGAGGAGGAGGAGGAGAGGAGAAGGAGGCGGAGGAGGCGGAGGAAGAGGAGGAGGAGGAGGAGGAGGACGAGGAGGAGGAGGAGGAGGAGGAGGAGGAGGAGGAGGAGGTTGAGGTTGCGCGAGAGAGAGAGGCTGAGAGAGAGGTTGGGCGCGCGCACTTGAAAGGGGCGCAGCGCGCCCGAGCCCGCGGCGCGGTGCCATGGCTTGCTGATGAGACTGCTGGTGCCCAGCGCGGCGCTCCGCGATGCCTGCATCGGCACGGTCCTCGGGCAACTGGAGGCCCAGTTTATCACGGCTGGCGGCCAGTCGGAACGGGAGGTCGTGTTCACCCACGAGCTCGACCAGCTGGTCCTCGACGCGGAGGGGGGCGAAGCGGCCGCAGGTGTTGTCAGGCCGCCCTCCTTCACCACCAAGGGTGCCCACCTCTCCGCCGCGTCGGCGGAGGATGGAGGATGGGCACTGGATTCCGGTGCCCCCGCAGCCCGTGGCCAAGCAGGCCCCTTGGCGCAGGGTGACCAGGGAGCCGACCAGGGACTCCCTGCGGGAGCAGATCCTGCAGAATCGCCAGGAGTTCGAGGCCGCCAAGACGAAGGGCTCGTCGAAGCCTGCAGCCCAGGCCTGCTCTGCGGCTTCGGCGGCCAGTGCGGAGAAGGCCCCAGAGGAAGTCAAGGTCAGGATTTGGAAGTGCTCGGACCCGAGGTGCATGTTCAAGAACTTCGGGTTTCGCGAGCACTGCTGGATGTGCACTGCAAGTGCCCCTCCTCTCGAGGATGGACAGACCTCCCTTTAGTAAAACGTGGTTTAGTGAAAACGACCTGAGGCCCAAACCTGGCGGGCGCAAGCCTGGAAAATAACGGCCGCGGCGCCCTCTCGAGAGCCGAAAACGGACAATTCACTAATCGACGTGTCACTGTTGGGGGGTTCTGTCCGCCCCCGAAAGAGTGACCCTGGGTAAGAGTGACCTTTGGTGCGCGGCTTTTGGGGGGCCGCGGGGGGACCAAACCGGGACGCGCAGGCAGCTGCTGCTGTTTCGTTTCCAGCCATCTGGGAACCCATCTGTGCCCGCACCAGAAGTCACTCCGGCGAAAGGTCACTCTTACGTCTAGTCGACAATACCACCCCCAAGTGGGGGGTTCCGTCCGCCCCCGATCCTCATATAACGGGGAGCAGCACTCGGCGATCCGCCGTCGGGCGGTGCAGGGAGTGCAGGCAGGCACCGAAGGGGGAGCCGCAGGGCGCCGGCCGCCGAGCTGAAGGTGCAGCAGGGGGGCCTCTGCACGGAGGAGGCGGAGGACCAGCCCACAGTGAAGGAGAGGTCGACGGTGCTGGCCGCCGAGAGGGGCACTCTCGGGGCGATCAGTTGCTGGCTGGAGGAGGAGAGCAGGTGCTGCGCGCAGTCGGTGCTGGAGCGCAGGCTGGACAGTGTTCTGACTTCTCGCCCCGCTGCTTCTGCATCGGAGGTGGTGCCTCCCAAGACGAAGAAGAACAGGTGGTCCCGCCAGCAGGACAGGGAGGCATTGGTGGAGAGCTTGATCGACCAGGTCGATGCGGAGACCAAGTAGAGGATGGGCCTCATTACTGCAGGAACGTGCTGGACTACGCGTTCATGTTGTGGAGGCGCGCCAGGTCGTCCGTGACCGCGGCTATGTCTCCACAGGCGGGAACGCTCACGATTTCAAGAACTTTAAGAGCAATGGTGTCGCCGAGCAGAGCGTCTTCTGGGGCCTCGACACGCTGGGCAATGGCACGGACAACGGGGAAGACGAGAAGAAAGACCACGGGCATAATCCCGTGGGCGCAGGGCTCTACGGCCACGTCGGTAGCGGAGACTTGGGCTCTGACGTGTACGATCTCGACGACGACGAGTTCACAAGCGGCATCCCTGACCTGCCTCCTGTGCCGCCTGGCCTTCCTTGGATGTCGAGCCGGACGTCGTCACCGACAGCACCGTAGCTGGTGCTAAGGACGGCGACGAGTTGACCGGCGAACGCTACCGAGCGAAACTCGAAAAGTGCTGGGCCCTCTTCTCATCGGGAGCGGCCAAGAGGGGGGTGTCCAAGAGGGGGCTGTGCAAATCATGACCGGCGGCATATGCGCGGCCCAGCGGGGGGGCCAGGGACGTAATGATATTGCGTCATGAAATCTGGGCAAATATCATGGCCCCCGCCATGATATCCCCCCCCCCTAGTCATCACCCCCCTCTTTGCCGCCCCCGATTCTATGGCTCGGGCAGCAGCTCTGACAAGGCGAAGGCCATGGAAGAGGTCGAGGCGATGCTTGCCATGGCCGCCGGCTGGTGAGGTGCCTCGTGCCTGCAGGTCGCGCTGAGGTGCCCCGCCGCACTTCTCGTCGCCTGCTGGCTTCGCCTCGTTTGGGCCTCTGGGTCGGTCTTCCGCTCGTGGCGGGTCGCCGCTGCCGGGCGCTGTTCGAAATACTTTCAAGCAGTGGCGAAGCGTCCTGGCTCGCCTATAGTCCTACCAAAGAATGTTCTGAGAACCTTTTGTGGTCTGCACGACCTGTTCTTAGAACATTTCTGGCTGGGACCGTCTTGTTTTGGCCCATCGGGTTTATGCTCTAAGAACCTTGTTTTTGTTCTTAGAACATGTGTGGGTTTTAAGGACACTTCGTGGTAGGACTATAGGAATGCCGGGACGATCGGTCCCTGCTCAATACTTCTTCTTCCGCCGAGCTGCGGCTCGTGCGGCGACGTGGACCCCCTGCCAATGCTCCTGCTGGCCTCAGGCAGCAGGAGCAGTAGCGGGCAGCCTGCCAGTAGGCTTTCGCTGGGCCATCGGGTTCGGCATCTGCTGCTCGGCATAGGCGGGGCTGCGTGGCCAATGTCGCCGGGCTCAGTGTTCGGCATGGCGGCCCGTTGGGGCTGCCTCGGCTTGCATGCCAGCTGTCATTGAACGACCGGTCTCATCAGAGCCCTCAGAGCCCTCCTCCTCTTCCTCCTCCTCCTCCTCCTCCTCCTTCTCCTCTCCCTCCCCCTCCCCCTCCCCCTCCTCCTCCTCCTCCTCCTCCTCCTCCTCCTCCTCCTCGGCGCCTGGTTCATCCTGTTGACGACCAGGCCGAGGTCGCCCTGCTTCGCGGCTAGCCGCCCCCAGGCCTGGCGGCGCCCGCGGCCGCCGCCGCTCGGAGGCCGCCCCGGAGCCCGCGCGCGGCCTCGGGGGCCCTGCGGCGCCGCCTGCCCCCCCCCCGCTGGGGGCTGCTAAAATGAAGGGGCCCAAGGGCACACAAATAAACATACGCGAATCCCATGACTCCCATCTCTATATAGATGTGTATATATATATATATATACCCCACATGTTTCGTGGGGTTTTGGTTTTCTTCTCTGCCGCGTCGCACCCGCGTCTCCTCCCCTCCTCCCTCCTCCCCTCCTCCACTTCCTTCCTGTCTTCACCTACGCGCAACACGTGCACGGCACGTACATGAGATACGCGTGAGACACGCCTGGCGTGCTCACTGCATCATACACCCAAGACGTATGCACAACATACTGGGCACATACATGAGGCACACGTTCCGATACCGCGGCACACGTATCATACACATACACATGACACGCCATATACAAGACGTGCGTGTAGGATTCGCGGTGCATGGCAGGAGGCTCTATGTGGGCCATGGCGCAGGGCACGGCAGGCGTGGCACTTTCTCGACACCAGAGGGGGTGCGCAGGGGGTGGTCTCTCACCGCGGTCCCTATACGCGCCAATGTCACATGGCGTAGCAGGCGTGGCACTTTCTCGACACCAGAGGGGGTGCGCAAGGGAATGGTCTCTCACCGCGGCCGTTATGCGCGCCTCTCACTCTGTGCGCTCCAGTCACTCCATTCACTCCAGGCGCTCTGGTCACTCCAATTACTCCAGACACTCCAGGCGCTCCAGTCAATCCAGCCACTTCAGCCACTCCGGGCGCTCAAGGCGCTCCAGTCACTCCAGGCGTCCAGTCAGTCCAGCCGCTCGAAGCGCTCCAGACATGCGTTTGATGTTCTGCCCAGAGGGCGCAGGATACATTTGCGCCATGCTGGAGATTCAGAAAAGCTGCGACGGAACGTTGGAGTATCTATTTTTATCGCACGGGAATATCTTCGGAGTAATTTCGGAAAGGCGCCATCGACGCTGGAGTATTTTTGAGAGTACTTTGAATGTTCGAAAATATCGGCATCTTTGGAATATTTTGAAATTCAGCGCGCTGCGCTGGAGTATCTTTGGAGTATTTCGAAAAGGGACCGTCGACGCTGGAGTATTTTGGAAATATTCTGAATTTTCGAAAATGTCGCTAGAGTATCTTTGGAGTATTTTGAATTTCGACGCTGTGCGCTGGAGTATCTCCGGAGTATGTTTTGATTTTTGTTGGATTATTTTATGACTATTTCAAATGAGGTCGCATTTGGTTGGAGTATTTTAGGAGCATTTGTAAAAGATTGGAAATCCGCCCGACTATTTTAAGACCATTTCCCGTGCTGGTGAAAACCGCGTGGAATATTATTGGAGTGTGTTACACGCGCGCGTGGCGCGTGAAATGCCCCCCATGGGGCATGTTGCGTCGGCGGCTCGCGCGTAGCATGCCGGGCCAGGGTATTATGGAGACGCGTGGGGGACGTCGGCGGTTTGTTTGGCGCGTTCGCGATGCCGCTGCTGATCCAGCGAGGGCGCGTCTTTCCTTTCGGTTTCCTGGCGGAGCTCGTCACGATGAGGGCGCGCCGCCACCTCCAGCTCCCGCCGGCGCAACGCGCGTGCTGGGCCGCTGTTCTGAAGACGCACTCGCGCAAAACTCCATGCACGGGCGAGCGCGCGTTCGCGCGACCAACCGCGCCTTTTTCGACCGCCACGGTTTTGTTCCACTCGGCTACCGCGAAAACGAAACGACAAGATTGGTCATGGCACGCGTCGAAACAAGTCCCGCGCGCGCGCTCCGCCCGCCCGCCCCCAAACCCCGCCGCCCTCCCTCTTCTTTAACGAAGTTAGCCTGGCGATGGGCCCAACCACATGCAGCTGCGAGTGCCGCGCTGTGGGTACCATTCTCGGTGGAACACCCGATGGGGCCGCGAAGCGCGCGAGGGGCGCGCCGGAACGGGTGGCCCAGGCGCGCGCGGGAAGTTGCACTGGCGCCTTCGGCGGAGCTCCCTCTGGTGCAACACAGCGCGCGAGGGACGTGCCTGCATGGGCAAACGCAGCCACTGGGGCCTTCGGAAGAGCTCCCCGTGGGGCCACGAAGCGCGCGATGGGCGCGCCGAAATGGGCATGGGGTGGGCGGGGGGCCGCGCGTGGGCATCGCCGCTGGGGCCTTCCGTGGGGCGCCACCAAACGAGCGAAGGGTGCGCCGACATGGGCATTGGGTGGGCGGGGGGCCGCATGTGGACATGGCCGCTGGGGCTCTCGGTGGAGCTCCCCGCGGGCCACGAAGCGCGTGGGAGCGCGCCGAAATGGGCGCGGCGCGGGCGGGGGCGGTGGCGGGGGGGGAGGGAGGGGGCGGGGCGCGTGCGGACATGGCCACTGGGGCCATCGTGGAGCTCCCAGTGGGGCCACGAGGTGCGCGAGGGGCCCGCCGAAACGGGCGCGCGGTGGGCAGGGGGCCGCGCGTGGACATGGCCGCTGAGGCCATCGGTGGAGCTCTCGGCTGGGCCGCGAAACGCATGAGGGGCGTGCCGAAATTGACATTCGGTGGGCGGGGTGCCCATGCACAATGCAATCGCAGCGCCCGAGATGCTAAGCGCCAGCGCGCGTGCGCGCGCGCGCTCGCGGCGCGGTGCATGCATTTCTACACCGTGGGCGGCGATGTTAGGTCAAACGCCCAATGGTCAACACCCAATGTAAATCTTCATTCTCTGATCGGAAGGCGCGGTCATCTCCGCGTGGTGTAGATGACAACGTATGCGCGATGCAATGCCGCCGCGCGAGACGGCAGGCGCCCGCGCGCGCGCTCGCGGCGTGGCGTATGCGATTCTGAACAATGGGTGGCGTTGCCCAATGGGAAACCCAATGGTTCAAACCCAACGTAAAATTTGTTTCTCGGAACGGAAGGCGCAGCCATCTGAGCGCAGCGCGTATGTGAAGGTATACGCAACGCAACGCCAGCGCGCGAGATGCCAGACACCCACGCGCGCGCGTGGCGTGGTGCATGCATGTCTATACCATGGGCGGCGATGTTAAATCGAAAACCCAATGGTCAAAACCCAATGTAAAATTTCATTCTCTGATCGGAAGGCGCGGCCATCTCAACGTGGTGTATATGAGACGTATACGCAATGCAATGCCAACCCGCGAGATGGCAAGCGCCCGCGCGCGCGGCGTGGTGTATGCGTTTCTATGCATTGGGCTGCGATGTTAATCCCACCAGCCCTTTGGGCGTGAGTGGTTTAGCGAGCTCTCTCTGTCCTCAACCCCCCTCTTCCCCTTCGGGGAGGGGTTTACCCCTCCCCGTACCCCCTCCCCCTGGGCCTGGAGAGGGGGGGCCGCGGGTCGTCAGGGGGGTCAATTTCGACTCCTGGGAGGGCAAAAAAACGACACCCCTCACGAAGATTCTGGCCCCGACGGGGGGACGGAGAAAAAACCCTCTCCTCTTCTGTGAAGCCAAAATCATTGATTTTACTACGGTTTTGGCCCCATTTGGCCCTTCTGAGGGGGCAGCGCTCCTGAAAGCTCTCCTCTTCCTTCAAGGCAGAATTATTAATTTTACGAAGGTTTTGGCCTCATTTTGCCCTTTCCGAGGGAGAAGCGCTCATTAAACCTCCCCTCTTCTTCGAACCATTCCCTCCAAGATGGCCCCAAGAAGCGCCCAGGAGGCACCAAGAGGCGCCAAGGTGGCCCCAAGAGGTCCCCAGGACCCCCCCCCCAGAGGCCTCCAAGAGGCCCCGCGATGGCCCCAAGAGGTCTC